AATAAATAGTTAAAAAATCATACATTGTGATTTCTGGATTTTTTTTTTTAGATTATGTCTCTCACAGTGGACATGCAGATGACAATTTCAGACCCCTCCATGATTTCTAAGTGGGAGAACTTGCAAAATAGCAGTGTGTTCAAATACTTATTTTCTCACTGTATATATATATATATGTGTGTGTGTGTGTGTGTGTGTGTGTGTATATATATATATACACACATACATACCACACACTGCGTAAGAACAAGAAGGGAAGCAGCACTGAATCAATCTTCTAATCTTACGTAACAACCAGGTGGGACAACAGCTGGTGCAAAATTATCAGCACATCACACCCAAAACTTTGGCAATGTTTATAGAAAACCATCATGACATCAGTACCATACAGCAGCAAAGGGCCAATCTGTCTCAAGCACACAGGCATTTGATAAAATACATAGCACACTTGAGCAGTTAAACAAGACACACCTTTAAACCAGGCTACCACTTCAGTTGCATTTGGTCATAACAGTTTTTAAGTCTGAAAACAGTCATTATGGTGGTGTAATTATTCATTGCATTACCTTAGAATGTGCCTTACCTTTTCCATTTCCAATTAGTTAACACATAGTAAATATAGAAAATAATATATCACATAAAGAACTACCTAAAAAAACAAAACACTTGAGTGTTTTGTCAGTAGCATAATTAAAAAAAATAACTGCTTGGCAATAAAAGCCAATGTAGTGACAAAAAACACAGGCTGTCCCCTCAGTATGACAACCACAGCACTGTGTGTATTGCAGCGTATTTTGAACAATAAACAGTCATTATAAAATGTACTGTGTATTTAAAAGAGAGCTCTGTAGACAGATAGTAGTGTTCTTCCCTTAAAGTCAACAAACTAAATGTAAATGCTTCTCAAAAATTGCCACAAGACAATACAAATACTTTGACCATGCATCAATAGAGGAGAGGGGTTTAGGTATAGCTAGGAGGCCAGAAAGATAAAATAATTTAGTCAATAGAAAGGCACTGGATTAACCTGAATGTATGTGTGAGAGAGGGAGAGAGTTTCTCATTAACAAGAGATTGTAATCACGTAGTCCAGTGGTCCATTGAGACTTAAAGGATTGATGTTTCTGGTAAATGCACTACATATGCTTGCTCAGTGAGCTTTTACTGTGTGTGTGTGTGCATGTGTGTATGCAGGTGCATGTGTACAGCCAGTACACAGGGTCTTTTTTTGCATCGCAACATTAAGCAACCCATAATACATGCAAATAGTATTCAAAATTTTTAATTTGTCTGGTAAAATCAATAAATATTTATTTGTGTAAATATATCACATATGATGAATAATTAATGCAAAGGGATCTCCTTTCATGTATAGTGCATCACCCCCAAACTTTCCAAGTGCCTTTGGCTTTGCCGTAATTGGGAACACTCCCTGCATCAGACGTGCCGCATTATTAAACAGATGCACGTGCTAAAGGGTTGTGCTAACAGACTTAGTATTGATCGACACCTGATCGGGTGATGATGGCAGAATGACACCTGTATAAAAGAGAGACAGGGTGGCCAAATACAGCATTTGCTACAGTACGAGCAACCATTTATAACATTTATTCTGATACTATACAAACATGCACAGCTGTATATCTAGATAATGGAGTAAACACACTAAGAATTGGGTGTTATTCTTTAAAGATAAACAGTCCCCTCCAAAAGTATTGGAACGGTGAGGCAAATTCCTTTATTTTGTTGTTCACTGAAGACATTTGGGTTTAACATCAAAAGATGAGTATGAGACAAGAGTTCAGAATTTCAGCTTTCATTTCCTGGTATTCACATTTAGATGTGTTAAACAACTCAGGACATACCAGCCTTTGTTTGAATCCACGCATTTTTCAAATGAGCAAAACTATTGGAACATGTGGCTGACAGATGTTTCTTGTTGCCCAGAAGTTGCCTTTTAGGTTGATTGTCCAAACATTAAATAGTTCTGCATGACTGGTCTAAGTTTTCATCCTTGGTTTAAACCTATAAAGACTGCATTTCCTGTTAAAGAGAGCCATTGGACAAACATTGGGCATAGCAAGCACAACAATTTGGGTTGTCCTGAAAAAGAGAGAAACTACTGGTGTACTGAGCAGCAGACGTTAAACAGGTCGGCCAAGGAAAACAACAGTAGTTGATGACAGAAATATCGTGAGAGCTGTGAAGAAAACCCCCAAAACATCAGTAAGTGACATCACCAACGACCTCCACAGTGCAGGGGTGAAGGTATCACAATCCTCTGTTGGAAGAAGACTCAGAGAGCAGAAATATAGAGGCCACACCACAAGATGCAAACCACTCATCAGCAGGAAGAATCAGAAGGCCAGATTGAAATTTGCAAAGAACTACAGAGATGAGACGCAAAGGTTCTGGACCACAATCTTGTGGACTGATGAGACCAAGATTAATCTCTACCAAAGTGATGGAAAGGCCAAAGTGTGGAGAAAGAAAGGAACTGCTTATGATCCGAACCATACAAGCCCATCTGTGAAGCATGGTGGAGGTGATGTCATGGCTTGGGTGTGCATGGCTGCTTCTGGAACAGGCTCATTAATATTTATTGATGATGTAACTGATGATGGTAGCAGCAGAATGAATTCAGAAGTGTACAGAAACATTTTGTCTGCCAATTTATGGAGAAATGCATTGAAACTAATCGAGAGGAAGTTTATCATGCAGCAGGGCAATGACCCAAAGCACACTGCCAACAAAACAAAGGACTTCAACAGGGGAAAAAGTCTTAGACTGGCCAAGTCAATCACCTGACCTTAACCCAATAGAGCATGCAGGTTTGAGTTATTGCAAGCAAGGGTTATGCCACAAAATATGAAATGTTATTTACTTTAAGATTATTTGTTCCATTACTTCTGCTCACCTAAGAATGCTGTGGTCTAATACAAAGGGTGATAAGTTGTTTAACACATGTAGATGTGAATACCAGGAAATAAAAGCTGAAATTCTGAACTCTTGACTCATACTCATCTTTTGATCTTAAACCCAAATGTCTTCAGTGAACAACAAAAATAAAGAAATGTGCCTTACCGTTCTAATACTTTTGGAGGGGAGTGTGTGTGTGTGTGTGTGTGTGTGTGTGTGTGTATATATATATATATAAAATCTCTTTAACTATGTCTTTACCTGTATTCTCTGTACCTCCTATGCTTAGGTGCTACCTATTTGTAGAAGTAAAGAGGTAGAAATTATTAAGATGCATCTCCAACCCATTATCCTGTTGCTCATACACCAGAGGTAAGTTGACTTGCCTTCTAGCAGGATGTCACATTGAGACCTTGTGTTACCTTTTGTCCCAGTGCTCCAGCACATCAACTGATACAGCATGTTACACATAGCTATAGGCAAAGATAGCAAGATTTGCGCAGGAGCCATTAATTCTTCACGACATTCGGATGGAAAAGCATGACATTTTCTTGTCAGATCTACTGCTGTGAGGTCTGAGTGTCATGGGTAAAGTGCTAATGGGGTAGTCATTGTGTTATCCTTGACCAAAAATACTACACTACCCGGCTAGCTAGGGCAGCAAAGATGTGAATGCGTGTGTTATCTGTGTGTGCGCATGTAATCCATGAGTGGTCTGTATAGTGCAATCTTTGCAAACATTCGGACTCAGGCATATGCATGTACGCACACATACACAAACCTGGCATCTTGTTTCTCTCAGGTAGATGTTGGAGTAGTTGTTCTGCCGGTGTTTCGCAGAAGATGCGGAAAGTTGCTTCTGTGACCTGATTTCCTGTGACAGGAATTACTCGAGCATGTACAGTCTGACACACATATGCACACCTCCGTCTCCAAGTCTCCGTCTTTTTCTTTTTCTCTTTCAAGCTTGCTCTGCTGCTTCTCTCCGTTCAATACCCTCGCCAAAATTAACCTCACCTGCTTAACTCACATTCTTTTATATTTATGTTCTTTTATCTTTCCCCATGCCCATTTTTGACAGCAAAGTGAGACAACAAAAGCTCCCACAGAAAATGCAGTATACTGTATAACTTGCAGATGTGTGAGCAGTGTGGCAAAAATTTCTAAAATGTGTGTCACAATCCTACTTTAGTCGCACACTGCACGCCCCGTTAGGCTGTTTTACGCATGTCCATATTGTTTGCGTGTCTGCAGTCTTTTTTTGCTACCTCACTTTATCTTTTTCTCTTTCTATTGAGTCTGCTGTTTCTGTTCCATCTTTCTCTCTCTCATTCCCACCATCCACGTGTAAATCCTCTATTTAATGCAAAGCTTAGGTATTCATGTATGCAAATCAGCCTTAAAGCACAAACTCACAGAGACTGCTCTACAGACCCACTGACACTGCAAGCGCATGTGGCGCTTATCACTTAACACAGTGTGTGTGTTTGTTGGTGCATGATAAACGCAAGATAGAGTGTGTGTTAATGCACTGTTCTCAAGCCTTATCATTCTAGTGAATTACACTTATCTATTAGTTAATTTGTGGCAAGTTTAAGACCATTGATGAGCACTTGTGTCACCGCACCAAAAGCCGCACTGCAGCAGCTTTTCTTTCTTTCTCTCCCTCCCTCCCTCTCTCTCTTTAGCTGTCCTCCTATCCAATTTAATGCCCCCCCCTCTTGTCTCATTCCATCTCTTGCTTATTTTTCTTTCTCTGTCTCCCCCTGCTGTATCTCCTTTTTCCAGTCCAAATTTTATCCTTCTGTTTTCTCCAATGACCTGCCTTGCTCTCTCTCTCTTTATCTTTCTGTCTCCCTGTATAGGGAGGCATAATTAATCCTCCCCTCCTCCTTTTCTTCTTTTGGCTGTGAAAGCAGAGGATAGTCCAAAGTGGTGTGCATCCTTATGAGTCACTGTATATGTGCGTGTGAGAATAAGGAGACTGGGAGGGGGGTGTGTATGGAGGTGAAGAGCATTGCGTCATTGGGGGTGTGTTGAGCGGGAGGTGGGTTGAGCCGGCTGTCAGTCAGTGACGCCAATGGAGCACGTGCGTCGGTCATGGCTGGGAAGACGCTGTGCGGCGGTTATCTGGCTGTTGGCGAGGAGAGCTAGACACCGCCGCAGCTCCCCTTGATTGAGGGAGTGAGAGTGCGTGTGTGTGTGTGTGTGTGTGTGTGTGCGCGCGTGTGTGTATGTATGTGAATCTGGATCTATGCACATGTAGATGCTGCATGGGCTGCAACCGGAGCTGGTGGTGAATAATGCAGATAGGGGAACGGAGTTTGGATAGCACGCAGGGAGCCAGATTAATAATGCATCCTGCCGGGTTACAAGCCCTGCATTAGTTAGTTTTGCTGGAACCTGTAGCTGCTTACTGTCTGCCTGACTTAGTTACTCCTCGCCTACCTTTTTACCTGACAGGCGGACTGCCTGACATACTCAGAAAATGTCTCACTACCATTTCATCAAATGCTGTAAGTAGCCATTTAGCATCTCTTTATCTATGCATGCAAGTGTGTGTGCAATGGTAGTTGTGTATGCCTCAGCCATGGGTGTGTGCCTGTTGTATTAGCACTTACTATTTATGCAGGGTGTCATATACTGTATGAGTTTACCTGCTTAGGAATTCTGGTCACCAGCTGCTGACACAGCAGCACAATCTAAACTTCAAATGTGTGTGTGTGTGTGTGTGTGTGTGTGCAGTAAGTGGGTGCGTGAGCTTGCTGCAGAGAGCTGCTGCAGATGTGTGAAGTTGACCGGTGAATGCGGCAGGTAGCGGGAGAGGGAAGGAAAGATGAGACAGAGCCACAAAGATGCAGATCCCATGAGCGTCTGGCATATTCATAACACAGTGACAGACTGACTGAGAGAGAGATTAATTTCAGAGGGAGGACAGATGGAGAGAAATGGAAGGTGATTCAGAGGAGAGAGGGAGGGAAGGGCAGGATTGGGAAATCGAAAGGATGTGAGGATGAGATGAGTGGCATATAAAGAATGCAGCCAAGTGGTGCAAAGAATGATGAGCAGACTCAGGAAGGAATGAGTGAGAGTGATGCTGATATTTGAGAGGTAATGGCAGGGAAGGAAGGACAGAGGGAGAATAAAGGTCAGCAAATATCATAGAGGTGATCCAGGCTGTCATTCAAGTCTCCTTTTGATTCTGAGAGCCCTACCTGTCTAACCTCCAAATCTGTCCGATATACATCTATATTTTATATATGCACATTGATGGTTCAGTTTGCAGGCTGTGTGTATGTGCATGTGTTTGTGTGCTATTTGTAATTTACAAGCTCCCGCAGTGCTGTCACTGTTATTAGTCTGAGCCTGCCTGGGATGTTCCACATTCAATCAATAACTGATGGCCTGGAGATGGGATGGCAGGAGAAGAAAGCTACGGCTTTCTGTCCGTGTCTCCACTGACTTCATTCAGCCCTGTTTCCCATTAGACTCAGTCCTGCTGTTTTTCCCCACTCTCATTCCCATTCCATTTATCTGTTCAGGGCCATTAATCACACGGTGGCAAACGCAGGGTTATTCTTGTATAACTGTTCAGAACCAAAATTATGTCATAGTTTTCCATCCAGCTACTGAGGGAATTTTGTGCAAACACTTGAAAGTAATTTGTGAAAACAGCTAGGTTGATGCAAATGTATATACTGTTATTCATTGGAAAAATTGAAATTCAAGTATTTATTGATTGAGGACAAATTTTTATTGATCTTTGTTGTCACTGCTGGCCATATTTGATGTTTCTGTCTTAAAATGGAAGACAAAGAAATTCTCCTGGGAATTTTCTAATATGCGAACAAATAATGTTATATTTACAACACGTTCACCCACATTACATACGGCAATACCAGGTTGCTGTATACATACACAACAACATGTTACGATGATAAGTAATGAGGGGCTGATTTTAGAGGCCCAACATTTAGAGCCATGTATGAACTGCTGTACAGTTAAAATTAACCTTTTAACACACTGAATGTACATTTGAACAACATATAGTCCAGCTGCTCGACTTGGACTGCCGCTGACCTGCCACGCAGTCGCACATTCTCTTCAGCGTTCTAGTAAAGCAGCGTCACTTGGATTAGTAATATTATTACTGTTTTTGAAATAGTAATCCGTAACACTACTAGTTACTTGGAAAAGTAATATTACAGTGAGTTACTGCCCACCACAGTTAGTTGCAGCCCTAGTTCTTTACCTTTTACCCACTACCACACACCTGCTGTGCCTTGTTCTCACAAATAATCACCTTAGCGATTAGATTTGATTAGCGTTAGACTGACATAATAGCCTGGGTTAGTCGTCTGGGCTGTGCGTGTGTGTGCGTGCACGTACATGTAGCCTACTGCTCCAGGGGTGGTGACGTTTGATGTATTTTTTTTAAGCCCTGCAGTGAGCTATATGTCAGCATACAATAAATCAGGGCAATTTAAAGCAGTGCACCCATTCTTATAGGTGTCTACTATGGACACAGACTGAACACACACAAAAACCACTACTACAACTCACATATCAAAATGGGCCGAGTAGAAGAGAAGGTGTGGGTAAGATGTATGTGAGAGTAGGAAAAAAAGGAGGCAATAACGGGACTGAAGAGAGATGGAGTGGCATGATATTGAAAAAGGCAATAGGTTGAGTGTGTGTTTGTGTTTTTATGTGTGCGTCTGCTAAACCTGCAGCCAAGGTCTTGAAACTATACAGTTGACACCTGGCATGAACACTATGATAATGACCCCCCCTTGTCTGGAACCTGAACACAAAAGAACCTTTTTACACGTCTAACCAGAGCAGATGGCACTGGTGTATTGTGCTGGAGGTGTATGTGTGGCTAAACCGTGGTGGAGGGGGCAGGTGTTTGAATGAATGTGTAGATGTAGATCAAACAGAACAAAGAACACAGAGGCTCAGTGGCTCCATTTGCCTGCTTGTATTACTTTGTCTCTTCCTGATAAAGATCTAGTCCAAACCAAACACAGCTTGGCTCCCACAGATGAGAAACAGCAGTTTACTGTATAAAGTAGACACAAAGTAGCAGCAGACCAGTCATGTCCTTTGGAGAATTGTCGAAGGCTGTTATATATTTCATATTGTGTTGCTTTTCTCTCCTGATTACTAGTAGATTAGTAGACTAGGTTCTTAGATGTATCACGTTGCAGACGTGGAAGATTCTCAATCGATTAACAAATGTCAAAAATTTATTATCTAATGTTAATTGAACCTTCGATAAGCCCCACCCCCCTTAGTTACTGTTGCTGTCTGACAGACTGTTGGCGCTAACCACTGTCTATTACTGCACTCCCTGGAGAAATATTGTCAAATTTGTTGGAAAAGAAACAGAAATAAGCAGACAATTTTGCAGTTGCATTATACATTTGAAGGTTGTATTCAGGCAGTCAAACAGACTCAAACGGACGTTAAAAAAAATAAAGATAGAAACGAAAGCCTATTGATCACCCAGTACAAGTAAACCACTGCATCCCCCAACGATTGAGACAAAAGACAACGATATGAACGATCAACACTGTTCTTGTAAAGCTGAGTAGGCCTCTATTCATTATTACAATCATTAAAAAGCAGAACAGTAGGGCTTTATTATGTTACATTCAGTAGGAAGTTAGCTAGCGTTAGCTAACTAACATTACATTAGGAACAATCCACAGCCGACATTTTTCGGGATTTATTTTAGGTTTTGGAAAGAGAATAAATCGTACTTCTCCTTTCAACCTCTTTGGGTAGCGACAGTAACTATTACAATTTCCCCAGGAAGAGTGTTTGACCATATCTTGAAAAAATACAGCCAAAAAAAGCTAGAAAATGACTCTTTCTGCATTAGAGTCAATGGTGCACATCCATGAAAGTGTCGGACTTCAGTTAGAGCGAATCCTATACTGCGCTGTGATTGGCCATCTGTGTTTTCGGGGCGTGGCTTAGCGCAGGGTCAATTGATAATGTAATGTTCACGGAACACAAAAAGCAAAACTCTAGGAAGTGCGTAAGTGCAGCGCCAGGACAGTCTGTGGTGTGCACATAACAGATAACAGTGTTCCCCCTGTATTTGACGCATTGCGCCACTGCTGAATGAATGACCACTGCTACTAAAATTTCACACACTTATAAATATGAATACACAGCTACAAAGTTTCACTCACACACTGTGCGAGCACGTTAACACGTTTATACCGTACACTCACCGCTGGGCTGGCTCACTGTGTCTCCTGTGTGTGCGTGTAGCGAGTGAGTGGGCGAGCGAATGAGAGAGAGAGAGCTTCAGAAAGTGACTGTGAAAGTTAGTGGAGGAAATTATTAAAGTTAATAGCAATTTTTACCTTTGCTTTACCTCTATCCTTGATTTCCGATGTCCTTGTCTTTGCCATACACAGGTAGGAGTGAAGTTTTACGCAGACACACAAGATTTTCCAGTCATTATTGCAGTTGAGGTTTGTTGTTTTTTGCAGTAGTAAATAGTACAAATGGATGAACATACCGGTTGGTTTCTCATTCTTTTGTTTCCAGTTGTGTGTAGTCTATGGTCTGGTGAGAACTGTGTCTGCTTCCCCTACCTGTGCCTGCCTCTTCCTGTCACCTATGCCCCCTTACATACAGCCATGTGCATCTAATCACTGCCACCTGTGGCCTGTACTACGAAGGGAGTTCAACCTACTCAGAGTTAACTCGGGGTTATCAGGCTAACTCAGGGTTGACAAACTCTGACCGCCTACACTGGAGTTCAGCGGTACTACGAAGGTGGATAAGATGTTGGTTAGTTGAGTCTGTGTTAACCCGGTGTTAAGGAAATACTCCTGAGTTTAGCCCACAATCACTACCATGCACCTTAGAGACTTTGCCTTGGATTGGGCGTATTCAGAAGAAAACAGAGTGATTTTTGATTTATTTTTATTTTTTTGAGACATTAATTTCAGGGAATTTCTGATTTTTCTTCTTGTAAATTTCACACTTTCATCTAGGATTTTTTTTTCTCGGTTATTAACCCCGACCCAAGGCTCCCTATTTTTTGGACACGTAAAATAATCTATCTAAATATGTGAAAACACTGAGGAGAATTCAATTATAGACTACAGATGAGCTACATCTAAGAAACTATCCCGTTAATTAATTAAGATACCTCTCTAATATCACAGAGGCTGCAGGGCTCGCTGTCTGAACATAATATTGTTGTGTTCAGAACTTCATTGCAACCGCAGTGGAGCAAATCAGGATGAAATCTAAACATGTTTTATGAAGTGGTGTGTATTAATATCCTACTTCTCATCATAAACACTGAGTACAGATGTGGTGTGTAGTCCACGTGCAGGGTAACCTCAAGTTAACCATGAACAAAACCTGCTCGGAGCAGTTTAGAGATGCAGCGTAAATTGCCATGGCAACAGACCTCGGGTAACACCTATGCACCTTTCGTAGGACGTGTTAACCGGGAAGTTACACTCAACGTCACAAAGTTACTCCTGAAGTTACCTGGATAAGCCACTTACCCCGCTTCATAGTACAGGCCACCAGTGTCCAAAATACTAATCAAAAAAATATCCAAACAAAACAAAATATCATGCCAACAATAAACATAAATGGCTCTGTAGTGGGACAACAGTGTGGATTTGTGCGTTTTATATTAAATAAATTTGAACTGAACTTGAACAGCCTATCAGAACTTCCCTTTAAAGGGGGCAGGAAACCCTAAACTGCCCCCCCCACACATGTAACCGTGGCAACTGTCATTGCTCTGTGTTTCATTACCCCATCAAAGGGATACTCCTTGTCACACCCAGATGTGACAAAATCCAGAGCACCACGAACCGCCCTGAACTTTGTGTAAACAAAGACTGCAGTCTCCAAAGACTCAAAACATTAACTGTTTAATTAAATAATCTTTTAGTTACTTGATTACATTTGCCTTTATTTGAGTAGTTATGTTACCATGTTGTTGCTATCTGTTGTTGATATTATTGCTGAAAAGAATCTAAATAAGTTACTTTTGCAGTGTTTTTATTTTCAGCAAGATTAAGGACACTCCTTCATCTTATGTGTAACCAATGCTTGTTCACAATACTTTCTCACACAATTCCTTTAGAAATGATGATAAAGAAATGTCATACTATACTCTATTAATTGCCGGCTTGAATTTAAGGCTAAATAACCAAATTCCCCAGTTCCTACGGAAAGATTGTTTGGATTAATCTAAGCTTTCCTCATGTAAACTGAGCTTCCCCAAGTGGACGAAATAAGTATTACATACCATCATAGGAAATGCCGTTAATATATAAATGTCACTCATTTATCATGATCAATAATTTGACAGTTGTTTTCCTGTTACCAAATGCTTAACTTAGAACGGTACAACTATTTGACCATTGAGGTTTGATTGTGGAAAATATTTGATTATAATACATGCAAATAGATTTTCTTTTCTTTTATACACATTAAAAGTTTAGGAACCACGCCCCAGACCACAAAAGAGCGACACGCGATGTTGTTCGCTCTCTTCTCCTCGTGCTCTTCTCTTCCGCTCTGCTCTCTGGACGCTTCGGCACGCGCCCGGCGTGCCTCTCCTGGCAACGCCCTAAGAATTCGACCAGCGCAACGAAATCTTTGTTTCACTTGAAGCTACACACGCGAAGTGCCGCGACATCGATTTTTCCCCTTAGTTCCAGCAACTTTACTTGTTTTCTTTTCTTTCTTTCTTTTGTTGTCAGTCCCTTAAGTTACACTGGTCTAATTCAGGAAAGACCAAATTCCCTTTTTAAGCTTTTTCGTCGAGCCAACTTCACCGAGGTCAGACCAAGCCACGTGGTCTCGCCAGCGGCAACGAAGGAAACCTGAAAACAGCCGAATTGCCAGACGGAGGACGGCCAACCCTTGAGGTTTTTCTACAATCAGACACGGAGAACCCCGGAGAATCCCTAGCAAAAAGCCTCTGCTAGCGTGGGACCCGTGCAACAAGCCAAAGCAGGCCGTCGACAAGCAGTAATACCCAACGAAACATTCTGTGGGATTCAGGGATGTCCCATAGTGTTAATATTGTCTTTTTAGCTCCTAAACTCAAAGCTTACTTTCATTAGTTCTCCTCTGCCGTATGAGTCAAATGCTTCCCACAATCGAACCTCCATTCTCATTGTTTAGCCATTGCTTATTTTCCCTGATGTATTTAACCACCTTTTTTTATATTGCTTTAGTTAGTTAATAAATTCACTGTAATCAAATTGTGTGTGTTGCCTATTTCCACGTCCCTGCCAAGAGAATTGACCCTTTAGATATGAGACTGACTGATTGATTTAAGATAATTGAGCGATTATTAACTACCTAGAGGTCCGGAGACTCTAGGATAATAACAACTCCAGTGGTGCCCCTTTTTAAACAAGAGCTTTTTATGGATTAATATATTTTTGAATATTAAAATTCATAATTGGGTATTAATTCTCATAAATTTATTAAAATTCATAGCTAGTTTAGACATGCTACAGCTCCTACAAAAGTTACTTAGTAAGTTATCAGTCTGGCAGTAAATGTACGTGTAGGTCAGTGTGACAGCGTTATTAAAAGAATGTTGTTTCAGCAACTGCTGGAAAAGTGAAGGCGGTTAGCGCTAGTGAACATCTTCCCTGTACAGCATGATTTTTGGCCGCTATCTAAGTTAACATTAGCTAAATTAGTAACGATGTAGTCTTAATTAGTTGTGTGTCATTACTACTAGGGTTGTGTGATATGACAAAAATTCATATCCCGATGTAGGTAATTTTATATCTCAATAATGATATATATCCCGATATAGAAATTTTTTGTGAATGAAATTAAATATCACAAGTTCTTGTTGTAAATTCCAACAGTAACTCATGATATTTAAAGGTGGGGTAACTTTTGGAGAAATCCAATACCATGACAACTACCATGATAATGTGAACAATGCAACAGCATGTAACTACCGTAAGCTTGGTTGTGGGTTAGCAAACTGTAGCTATCTAACTTGCTGCTACAAAGCTAACATGAGAGGACAGACTGCTGTACTCACAGCTCTCCTGCTGCTACAGCTAACATCACAACAACAGCATGTCTTGATGAACGAGAAAGTAAAATCAATGTTCGTGGGGGAGTCATTAAATGTTACCTGATACACAAATCATACCTGAAACTGCTGGAATAGTGTTGTGTGTGTGGTGTTAAACATGTCTTATATAAGCTGTGTTCAATGTACAGAGAGACAGAGTGGTTATCGGGCTGGGTCACTCTCCAAGCTGCTGCAGAGCTTGTAATTGATGCTGAATTCTTTGATGTAATAAACTTTTATAATCAAGAACAGTGTCAAGCGGATTTCTTCTCAACACATCACGCAGCATTATCGTTCGGACACCACATGTGGCTCAGCAGACTTCTCTCAGTATGAGCTCCTCGTTTTAGCTTGCATGGTCTGAGTCCTCCTGTTCAGTAGAATCCAGTTATGAGTAAGTTCCAGTTATGAGTAAGTTCCACATTTGTTTATTCTGAATGCAAATTTCTTTTCCGCAGCGCCAGCATGTGTGGAGAAAGGACCACGGTGAAGTTAGTTCCAAGTTCGATATTAGTTTTATGTTTGATGCTCAGCAGATGTTGGTCAAAAATCCAACGTAAAACTAACTTCATCGCGGTGCAAAGCACCATTCACTCGCGGAAATATTACGGTAAAGTGTGGAATATGCGACACAACAAAATAAACTAGAGAACATAATTGTACGATAGACATTTTTTCAATCGTCAAACAATAGATATTGTCATATCGCACAGCCCTAATTACTACCTACCTACCAGGGTTAGGCAGATCAGGTAGAAGCAAAGACAAAACTGGTGTACAGCTGTGTCCTGTACATATAGGTACGTTATATCCTGATAGTTAAATTATATTTCATTTTTCAAAGGAATCTGAAAACTGGTTGTTAAATAAATGATGGTATTGACTAGGAGGAGCTGAGCCTAGTAAAGTAAATTAGGGATGCAAACTAGTCCTTTTAAGCAATTTAGGAAATGTTTCTTTGGATTTTAATGTGCAAATTAAATTCTTAGTATTTATCTAGAAATCACATAGGTTAAAAAGATGCAGCACGATGCATCGATAATAGTTTTATAATTGCATCGCAGCCCTCTGAATCATAGTCGATTCGTGAGGTGCATAGAGATTCCCATCCCTACTAGTTACTTGAACTGTTCAAAAACTATTACATGTCACTCTGTAGATATGATGAGAGATGAAAAGAGATGATAAAGTAGCAAGAAAGAGACAGACGGTTGTGTGTGGGAAACATGGGGACAACGTCAAAGATGTCCTACTAGCAATACGTTCCTGACTGATGTGTGCGCTGTCACACGAATAGAGAAAGAGAGAGATGAAATAGAGACACTGGGAACCACTGGAGATCAATGGAGAGACAAAGATGCTCCAAGGAGGGCATTCTTAAAACAAAATGGGCACAAAAGAACGAGGGCAACAAAGGAATAGCAAAGTTGAGTTTGATAAAAGAAGGAATGAGATATAAAGACAGCAGGGGCCAAAGAGGGATGATTTGGTGAGTCAGAAAGAAAAACACAACACACGCTTCTTCTGCAAAAATCTCCTCTTCATATTTTCCTTGTCCTCTGGGGTGGCTGCGGCCTGAATTTGTCAAATTATCAATGCTATCAATGCCAGATTGATGCACATACTTTTACTTAAAACCCACCATATGTAATATGTTTGTTTGGTGTGTCTGTGTGTGTTTCCTTTGGTTTTTACCTGAGCACACTCAGTGAATCTCATTCTGAGCCCACCTACTGCCCAAGCATTGAACATCCTAATCATCCAAGCAGCCCTTAATAGGTTTAGAAGCTGCCTTGTGATGCGATCTGTTTGGCTAAGTTCCACTGAGAGGCAGAGAGATTATGCGGAGTCAGGCAAAACACTACTCACTGGGACGGGAGAGACAACACACACAAAATGCTGGGATACTTCTCTTAATTCACCCCACGGCTAAACACACACTAGACGCAGCAAATATCCTTTAGAGTAAATATGCTAAATGTCTGGTCCTCGTTTCAGCATCAAACTGTATCAAAGTAAATACTATGGACTGCAGTGTTTTCACTGATTCACCAGATTGTCTTCCTCACTTTCACCATGGACATCGATCAAAGCCTGAATGAAAACAAATATGCATAAATGAATCCCATTTGCATTTCATTTTGTACATCTGTATAATTTCTGACACTAAACATCATTATCATTGTCTTGTGCTCTCTCTCTCTGTCTCTCTTTCTCTCTGTCTCTCTTTCTCACCAGGTTGTTTCCAGCTATGTAATGTCTTTCGTCAGAACATGGAGATAGACCAGTGTCTGCTGGAGTCTCTCCCCATTGGCCAGCGCCAGCGGCTGGTCAGGAGGATGCGCTGTGACCAAATAAGGGCGTACTACGAGAGGGAAAAGAGCTTTCAGCGCCAGCAAGGTGACAGCAAGGTTCGAGCCCCGCCCACCCACCGCAAGAAACACCACGTCCGCTTCAGCCTCCCCGACATCGTACAGGATGCCATCATTCGCCATGACGACAAAGAAGGTGTGTATGTGGGTGCACCTAATAGGGTGTATGTCCGTTTATGGTTAAATGAAAAAGTAGTAGTGTGTGTGGATGTGTACAGCAAACATTTGAGGGTAAGGACAGGATACTGGATTTTCAGTGCCTACCTATCACACACTTGCACACACACACAAACATACACACAGGTGGGCCTAAACACTGCTGCTGATTGCAGGTCACACGATTTGTTCTGCTGAAGGCAGTCCACTTGAGTGAGGAGCTTCTATCAACAGAGTGGAGCTTTTATCCTGATACAGACAGCTCTTGAGGATAAAAATACCTTAGCAGAGATGATAATGTCGGTTGCTGAGAGCACACAGTAATTCCACAGAATGGCAGTCGCTTTTTGTTGGACTCCAGGTAAAAGAAGCCCATTCGCTTTTGTTTTATATCACCTGCACTGTTCAGTGGCCTTGTCAAAAGTAACCAGAGAACATATGACACTGCTTCTTGCTTGGTTGCTGTACCTGGGGGACGCGGCAGTGAATATTTTAGGTATTTCGTGACATGAATATGGTTGTCTATGGTTTCCTGTGTGTTTTCACATTTGTAACACAAATACAAAGTAATCTATGAAAATAAACATCAGGATATTCAAATATTAGCTCAGGAACAATGAATACTGGGCATTGTTTCAACCATTCAGCCATTTGTTTCAAACAAATGGGAGCTTGCCAATACAGGGAGTGTACTTCAATGATTGTGTTTTCTATGACATTGAACATAATACTAGTCAAAATACATGCACAGGAGCATTTCAGAAGTAGTTTAAAAGAACATTTTCTAAAACTTTCAAATTAGTTTTATAGAATGAATGATAATTTGATTAATCAAGAAAATAATTGTATGATTAATTTATCATGAAAATGATCATTAGTTGCAGCCCTAGTTATTTACCTTTTACTCACTTCCACACACCTTATGAGCCTTGTACTCAATATGTTACTGCTTTTAGTAAACATCTAGAAAAAATGTCAATGTGGGCCTTTCTGTGTCTGAGTCTAATACACTGACAGACACAAATAAATATTCTATGAGAGCTATTCTGCCCTCAGTTCTAAGCAGGACTGAAGCCTGCTTGGCTCCCAGTAAAGACTAAAGTACTCAGTCTGTTTTCGTGAGATCAGATCGTTGAACCCATAACATTCAAGAGGTCCTCACACTACTCTAAAGGGCATAGATTTTTTGTCCACTCACCGTCTTTCTTTTTGTCAATGCCAGTCTTTTGGCAGTCATTTAACCAGCTGTCCGGGTGTATCTGTGTCACTCCTACAAGCAGTCTTTGCAGGTCACTGTGTTAATCTCTGTTCTCTGGCTGCCAATGAGGTTCAGCTGGTCTGTGGGAGCAGCTGGTGTGCCAATGCAACAGCCAGACTTAAACCAGGGTTCCTTGGCTTGGCATGAATCAGATCTGCTACCCCTCTGCCTAATGCCTACCTACCACCCAGGCGCCACCACAGCACTGAACTGGTACCAGGCTTACATTTGTTTTATTATGGGAAGGCCTCCTGACCTCTTGGTGTTGTGGAAGGCAAGAACTGGACCTAGATTAAACAAATGTCAGACTCACATGCAGCTGTCCTCGCATGATGGAGAGACTTTTGACACTGAGTTAAGGGACTGCCTGGAAGCTTTATGATCCTTTTAAGTTACTCTTTGTTGGCCTGTCTGTTGCAGTGTCTATAACACTTGGTTGTGTGGATCAGCTACATCTTGACAATGGCTCTCGTCTTCTCGAGGATCGAGTGCTGCTACTGTTGCTGCTTGAGTAAGCTCTCTCCCCTTTTGTACAGCGTGATAAGATTTGCCTCAGGCTTGGACTTTACCTAAAGTAATGTGAGAACATTTTTGGATATTTTCCCCTCACTACATAAGTATTTTAAGAGAAGAGGGATTTGGTAAACACACTCATTGCAATGAAAGCCTACGGGATAATCGCGTGGCTATGGGTAAGAAAAAGGGATTTGTGTTTGACTCGTTGACAATGCCAAGATAACCCAGTCTCTTGCCTGGAAAGCAGACTTAAAAATATTAAACAGGATATGTGAGTGCTGATCTCCTCTTAATGATGCAAGTGTTCATCATAACTGAGAATTATTGTTACATCGTAAGAAGCCAACAAAAATAAACCCCTGTTAGCTGATATCTTTAACATTGCCGGTATCTTAAATAAACTGTGCATGTCTCAACTTGATTAGTTTTCCATTTTCAGCACAGTTTCCCCCAGATGATGATGATTCATGAAAAAACTGAGGGAAAGACATTTTGGTGACTCATCATTGTTTTTAAGAACTTGTGAGTGTGGTGAGAAAGAGAAAGATTAGCCAAATAAGACTTGAAGGGAAACGACAAAAGTGTGTGTGTGCGGGGGAAATAGAATGAGAGAGATTGACCCTTGTTATGTCCCAATTGAAGCCTGATTTAGCTGGCTGGCTTGAGAATTTGATTCATAGATTGATGCATAGAGTGCAGAAACTCAGTCTGCTGACAAGACAGCCAGGTAATCAGATATTACACACATATACACACACATACACAGTCACACAAGTATTTCTTATCAGTTGTCTCTTATAGGAAATAAGATGAAGGAGAATGAGATAAAGAGAAGCAGGGTGGAGAAAAGAGGAAACGGTGAACACGGTGGGAAAATGGAACATTGGAAAGCAAAATAAATTGAAAGGCAGCAGGGAAAAAGCTTGAGGTTACACACAACACAACCTTTACAGTTAGATAGGAACATACTATACCTCATCTCCGTTCTCCATTCCTATGTGTCTTATGCAAACATGTTGCATTTTGACATTTGGTGACATTGCTTTTCCCAAACTAATCTCTTAACTTAAAGCAAGACGCAAGTGGAGTGCAGCAGCTGTTGCCCTTATAGCCATGGAACCCTACAATGAATTTTTATTATGTCTTCCCCTTTCAACAGAATAATGATATTAAAGATGACATTTTGGTGTCTGTGGTTTCAACTGAGATGATGATTCCTGGCAAAACACAATGTTACAAATGTTCCGCAGCAATTTAGGTAAATGTACGATGACTTCTATTGGGGAGAAGAGTTTTTTTAAACCTAACCCTAAGTGAGAACGTCACAATTTTCCCCACTGGCACTAAACCCCATTTTTTCTACCCACCCACAAACACTCACTTGTCTTTAATGGGGACACCAAGCTAAGCCAGAAGCAGACATGGTGGGGATTGCACCCAGGTCTCATCATTAATTGGCGAGTGTTTTCTCTCTGTGCCTGTGTTATGTGTCTGTTTGTGTGTATGAGAGCATGTGTGTTTATGCACCAAGAGGTTGAGATATTTGGCCCTTTTATTGAAGTGTAATTACTGTACGTGTGGTACATTTACTGTATATGTGTGTGCATGCACATCTACGTGTGTATCGATCCACGCTGCAGGCACAGCACATGATTCATTCAGTTCTCCATAATAAGACAGTGAAGCAAGAAGAGTTAACAGTAATAGCTGACAGTCTTGAAATGTTGTTTTGGAGTATACATTTAGACACAGTAAAACTGAATCATACCATGGCTAAAATAAGAACACCATGTCCAGTGAAGCATATGCAGTGTTATACAATGTTTTGCCATTTGTGTTGATGCAGCCCCCACCTCCAGGTGGATGTACAAAATAGTCTCACATTGCTTATAGGCTTTCTTGGTCTTCAGTATTGAACTCAGATCAATATTTAAATTAACTCAATGAATAAATTTATAAAAATACATTAATTAGGCAGGGTTGGGCCGATAGACAATGCCATTGTGCACTCAGACACAAGAGGCCCACACCTCAGATAAACACACCGGCTTGCCCCGCCTCTCTGTCTCTCTCCTCCCCCCCACTCAACTTTCCCTATCACACTTCACTTTCTCCATCAGCAGTAAGTTTTATAAAGTTGCCTAAAAGACTAAAAAACGAGTTTTTCCACCCGCAAACCGTTATCACGGCAGCAGGTGAGCTGCTTGTGGGCTTGTTAAAGACACATCCTTTCAAACAACCGAAACCAACATCTGCACCATGTGTGATCAATGCTGCTTTACCTGGTCCGTGCTCCGTAAAAGGTTTGCCACCACCCACGTGCGTGCAATGTCATCATCAATCCTGATGTTTCAATGTAGACATCGTCCGATGGAAAATTTGTAGACATTGCCCAACCCAATTATCAGAATCTGGTTTGAAAATGTGTCCATGCAGCTAAGGCATATGCTAAACTGGATCTTTCTCTTTATTCTGTTATATGTTGTTTGTTTTTCAAAGGTAATCTTAATCTCTAGACACCTGTTGTAATTGTAATAGGCTAGATGTGCTGGACAGCACCGCAGCTGAAGTTGAAAATCAATGTACCACTTAACAGTAGTAGTGATGTTCTGTTGTGGGAACCTCCGGACATTTAGTTGTCTTGTTTATCAGTCAGCCTGCCATCATCAACTCACGGCGTCCTGTTTGGTGGAGAAAATGTTTTACGTTGTTACTGCCAGCCACTTTTTAATTATATAAATTTTAATTATGGATAATCTCCCCATATGGTAAAACATAAACCAAGAAAGGGAAGAGGAGAGATGGAGGAATAGGTAAATATAAATGTTAGAGGAATACATTGATATTTCTCTGCAATAGAGCACCCTGGGATTAAACGCACATCAAACACCTGTCATGTGTTTGACAGAACTGGGGCTAGGCCCACAGAGGTGGTAGAGAAAGATGTCATGATATCTTTTACTGGAATTCAGTTTAAAACCTTACAACTCTCTCTCTAATACAGCAAGCTTTTAATGTCAACTGTATCATCAGGAAGCATATTGAAACGTTTCACTGGCAGTGGTATTTGTTTGAGCTTCGAATGCTAAACCTTTGGCTTGCTTGATTACTCCATCGTGTTCCTTTTGAGGTTCGGCAGTACAGGTTAATATGAGATGAAGCAAAATATGCAAGAGCATGAAAAACAAAAGTACTTTTTGAACTCA